TTGTAGTATCAAATGTTGACATTATTCCACAGAATTCTAAAAACTGAAAAAAAAAAAAAATCCTAGAGTTCATCTACTACACTATTTTTTTTAACTACACTATTTCTCCCTATATACAGATAGTCTACCTCTGATTTTACAGGGAACGCACTACTTTCTGTAGCTCTCATGATTAGAATTGTCTTCCTTATTTCCTTACATTGAAATAAAACCTGCAACCATGTAGCTTCCTTCTCCATCCTCTTTGTAGACCTCACCTCCTCCGCCCTCCCTTTACGTACCAGTGAATTTGACCATACCTGGGAGCTCTGCCCATTGCTCCCTAATTTCCCTTTTTTATTACTTTTTGAGAGTGTGCAGAGTGTGCTTTCTCCAGCTTGCAGAGTTCCATCAGTTGTTCTTGTCCCATGGCAGAGTGGTTAGGAGTGTGTGTTTTGGAGTCAGAAAGACCTGGGTTACAACTCATCTTTCACCTCCTAGCTGTGGGACCTTAAGCAAATTAATGAAATGTTTAACATCATTTTCATCAACTGTAAAATAGGGTTGATACCTCACTTCTAGCGTTGTTGTGGGGCCTGAGCAATGTCTGTAAAATGCTTTCGTACAGTACTCGGCACACAGTATGGAATCACTGTGTTGTAGTGGAGAGTGGGAGTGTTATCATATGTTGGAGAGTTGAGTCAGATTGTGGGGAAGCCTGAAAGACAGGCAGGGAACCTTTGACTTAATCAGTTGGGTAAAAGAGAATCTTTGAAAGTTTCTGAGCAGAGAGCCATTTCTTACGGTGTTATCCAACTGTCCATCCAACATACTTCCTCTGCGAGAAATCTCAGGACCAGATTTCTGGCTTTTTTAACCCACTGAGGCTGAGCTCAGTTCTTTCTTCATGGGCCCCACTCACAGGGGAGTCCCTCTCATTGCCAATTTGTTTATTTATTTATTTATTTATTTATTTATTTATTTATTTATTTATTTATTTATTTATTTATTTATTTATTTATTTATTTATTGGTGGCTGGCTGGTATGGGGTTCTGTACCCTTGACCTTGGTGTTATAGCACCACACTCTAATCAGCTGAGCTAACTGGCCAGCCCATCACTGCCAATTTACTACAGGTGTACGTAGAAGTCTATTGGTGGTGCCCTAACTCAGTCTTTCATCTGGAAATTACACCATGCACATGAGTCCTTCTCTTTCGCCAGTTTCTGCTTTGGTTCCATCTGGTGTAATTGCATGGGCATGAAACTCAGCATGCGTAGACCTTCAAAGTGTCTGCGACATTTCTAACATAAATTCGATTACTCGTATTAGTTTCCTAGGACTGCCATAACAAAGTACCACAAAATTGGTGCCTTAAACAACAGAAATATAGTTCTGGAGGCCAGACGTCTGAGATCAAGGTGCAGGTGAGTTTGGTTCCTTCTGGGAGATATGAAGGAACATCTGTCTGTTCCATGCCCCTCTCCTGGCTTCTAGTGGTCTACTGGCAATCTTTGGTGTTCCTTGGCTTGTAGATGCATTGCCCTGCCTCCATCTACATGTGACCTTCTCCATGTGTGGCCTCACATAGTCCTCCCTTATTGCATTTTGTTTCCAAATTTTCCCTTTTTAAAAGGATACCAGTCACATTGGATTAGGTCCACCAGAACACATCATTTTAACTTGATTACCTCAATAAAGACATTTCTAAATAAGGTTGCATCCTGAGGTACTGGGGGTTGGGATTTAAACATGTCTGTGTTGGGAGACACAATTTAACCCATAGCACTTCACCATCTGATCCCCCAAAATTCATGTTCTTCCCATGTATAAAATAGATTCACTCCTCCCAACATCTCCAAAAGTCTTGATCATTCCAGAAGTAACTCTAAGTCCAAAATCTCATCCAAACATCATCAACTCAAAGTCCCCAAACTCACCATCTAAATCTAGGGCAAGAATTGGGGTATGATTCATTCTGGGGTAAATTTGTGAACCCGTGAAACCAGATAAAAAAAGTTACTTGCTTTTAAAATACAGTGGTGGAGCAAGAGAGACATTGCCATTTCCAAAAGGGAAAAATTGGAAGGAGAAAATGAGTCATGGGTCCTAAGCAAGTCTGAAACCTAGGAGAGAAAATTTCATTAGATTTTAAGTTGTGAGAATAATCCTCTGTGGCTTGATGCTCTGGCCTCTGAGGTTACCTTCTCGGCGCACCAGAGAGGTGGCCACAACTCTTCAGCCCTGGACTAGCTCTGCCCTCTGGATTCTAGGAGGGCTCCTCTGAGCCAGTAGTTGCTGCTCCAGCCTTTCCAGCTAGTGAACCACCGTCACAGTCATTCTTCCCTTTTCTCGAAGGATAACACATTTTCAGCCAAACGGCTCTATTAGCCAGTTTCCTCCCTAGAGTGCAAGAAGTCCCACAGCCTTTCTTCACTTCATCCCATCTCTGTCACCTGCAGTCCAAGCCAGCAGTATTTCTGCTACAATGGTAAATTGGATTCACAAGCCACAGCCTTTGTGTTCTTTTCCAAATTTGCATTCTCATTTTCTGCAATATGCACAGGCTGAGAATTTTCCAAATCTTCAAGTTCTAGTTCCTCTTTGCTTAAAAATTTGTTCCTTAATTTATCTCTTTTCACTCATATCTTACTAAAAGTAGCAAGGAGGAAACAGACGATGCCTTCAACACTTTGCTTGGAAATATTCTCAGCTAAATATCTGAGTGCATCATTTACAAGTTCTACTTTTACCCAACAAAGCATGGTTTTCTGCCATTTTATAAAGAGGATCACCTTTCCTCTAGTTTCTAATGTTTTTCTTATTTCCATCCAAAACCTCACCAGAAGCAGCTTTAGGGTTCATATTTCTGGTGACATTCTGTTTATGATAATATATCTGTTCTCTAAGATGACAGACGTTTTCTCTACAGCTCTTCTCTTTTCTTTCTGAGCCCTCACCAAAATCTCCTTTAGCATCTGAATCTCTACCACCAATCTCTTCAAGGCAATCTAGGCTTTTTCTACCATCTTAGAACTCTTCCAGTATCTACCCATTACACAATTCCAAAGCCACATCTACATTTTTAGGTATTTGTTACAGCAGCATCCCATGTCCCTGTAGCAAAATCTGTACTGATTCCTAGAAATGCCATAATAAAGTACCACCAACTGGATGGCTTAAACAACAGAAATTAATTGTCTCACAGTTCTAGAGGCTAGAAGTCTGAGGTCAGGGTTTTGGCAGGGTTGGATCTTTCTGAGGGATATGAGGAAGAATCTCATCCACGTCTTTTTCTTGGCCTCTGGTGGTTTTTTGATAGTCTTTGACGTTTCCTGGCTTGTAAATGCATCAACCCACTTTCTGCATTCACCATATTCCCCCTGAGCTTTCTCACGTAGTTTTCTCTCTGCATAAGTGTGTTATTAAATGTCTCCACTTTTATAAGACACCATCATATTGAGTTAGAGCCCACCCTAATGATCTTATTTTGAGTTGGTTATCATTGTGAAGATGCTATTTCCAAATAAGATCACATTCAGAGGCACTGGGGGTTAGGATGTTAACATATCCTTTTTTGGTAGGGACACTATTAAGTCAACAAAGCTCATGAATAAATTATAAACATATCCTAGAAGTAGGTCAAGATTTTCAAACACAGACTAACATTGATTCTAGTTAAATAAAGCATAGAGTTGGGTTGGAATTTATTTACTATTCTGTTTATTTGGTATTTAGTGAGTTTCTACTATGTGCCAGACATTCTCTGCATCATGGAGTTTTTGAATTTGGATGAGAAACAATTTACATGTTTATTTTCATTAACTTCTAATTGGAAAACTAGCATTTCTTTCCAACCTGAATGTTGATAACAAACCATAGTAGTATTAGTGGGACGTGTAACTTTATTACATAGACCTTTACACAACAGTTGCAGCAGATACTTACGAATATGGCTTAGGATCTTTACTACCTTTAAATTATGAGCGATTACAATTTTTACTAGATTTAACTGCAAAGAAAATAAAAAAAGGACATTGTGTTCATAAAGAGACACATATATTACTATGTCAAAATTTTAAAAGAGTTTGGAATTATTAGCTATAATTCTTTTTTTAAAAATTGTGTATTGTATATATAATTCTTTTAAAAGAATTTGGATACTTTTAAGATAATTGGTTTGTTTCGTAAGTCTATGTATTTTATTTTACTCATCTAAAAATTTTATCCTGAGAAAGGTCCGTCAGACTCACTAGATTCCCAGAAGATTCATTACACAAAACAAGATCCAGAGACATTGTTCTAGCTGCTGGAGATAAAGCAGTGAACATCTCAGATAAGGTCTCTGCTTTCATGGGGCTTACATTGGGGGGTGATGGAAGAGGGGGTGACAATCAGGAAACAAATAAACAATCAGCAGAATTTCAGGTAGTGATAAGCACTGCACTTATCAAGTCATATATAAATGGAATATAATGAAAATTGACCAAGGCTAGAGAAGTACATAACAGCAAGAAGCCAGAGCAGGGAACAGATATGGCGAAGGGAAGAGCCAGCGTAACCTCTGAGACAGGGCAAGCCTGGTGTGATCACAAATAACCAGAAGGCCAGCATGACTGGAACCAAGGGGTAAGGCAGGGAAGGCAGGTTATTTTAAATGAGGAGAGTAGGGGAAATAAGAGAAACCACACAATGTAGAGCATGTAGGCTAGGGTAATAAGTTTCAATTTCACTCTAATTAAATTGTACATCCATTAGAGGTTTTTTTTTATTTTAATTGTGGTAATATATACATAACATAAAATTTACCATCTTCATCATTTTTAGGTGGATAGTTCAGTGCCATTAAGTACATTCACCTTGTTGTGCTATCATCGGCACCATCCATCCACAAAACTCTTTTCATCTTGCAAAATGGAAGCTCTATACCCATTAAAAAATAATTCCCCATTTCCCCAAACCCCAGCATTGGAGATTTTTGAGCAGGGAAGTGATGAGATGTGTTTTACATTTTACAACTATGACTTCATTTTTAAAATATGGAGAAGATGTTGCTAGGTAAGAACAGCAGTACCGGCAGGAAATCAGTCAGGAAACACCACAGATGAGAGATGATAGTGGGTTCACCATGGTGTCAGCAGAGGATGGATTTGAAGTGGATTTGGGTAGTAAATCAAAGAGGATTGGGTGACAAATTAGAGCAGGTATGGAGGAGGACTTGGGCTCTCTTTCAGACATGTTAAGTCCTAGTTGTCACTTTGACATCCAAGTGGAGATGTCAACTAGTTGGGTGGGCAAGTTCAGAGCTCAGAAAAAAGGCCAGTGTATATTTGGGAGTCATAGGCAAGTGGGTGATATTTAAAGCCATGGGATCGAATGAGATAACTGAGGGAGATAATATAAAGAAAAGGCTCAGCAGTAATCCCTGGGGCACTCTCATCTTTTAGAGGTTAAGTAGAGAAGAGGAGTCTACACCAGTTTAGCCAATCTTACTTAGTGAGCCTAGTGCTGCATCTGGGCTCAGACTAAGGGGCAAAGCTACCAATGTTAAATCCCATCAGAACTGGTTTTAGCCAGGTCGTACTGGTCTGGCTATGAGAGAGGGGTGATCCCATCTGCTAACTCATGTCTACACCTCCAGCATCTAAGATGGACTGGGGTTGAGAAAGCTCCATTGGGTCAAGAACAAGTTGTTAATAAATCAAAAGCATCCAACACCTCTTGTACTTAGAAACACACATCATATAAATGTAATTACTATAACATTATTAACTAAGAAAAGAGGAGGTAAATATTTCATTATAAAAAGCCTTGGAGTATCTTTTGTCTTCCCATAAATTAATAATGCTTAACATATATTTTGATTTTCTCTATCATGAGATACAGTATCATATACATATTATAACTCAATAACTATATGATTGATTGATCATGCAAGGTTTTAGAAGTGGTCCAAAACCAAGTTTGAAACATTATGTCATTTTTATGTTATACATGATTTTTTGTGGTTCAAGTAAAAAAATCCAGGGCCTCACCCAGCATCGAAGTCAACCAGTTCAGTGACAATGCAATAGCCAGAGCCAGAAGCCCCCAGGGTCCTGAGGTGGGGGCCAAGGGCCTCAGCCCCACCCTCCCCACTATAACCAAGCCAGCAGTGGAGCCAGCTGCAGGCCAACCATATCCCCCCCCCCCCCACCAAACACCCTAAACATCACTTTTTTTAAAAAAAAAAAAAAAAA